AGAGAGAGAGAGAGAGAGAGAAAGAGAGAAAAGGAGACAAGAAAAAAAAATCTTTAATCAAGATGACCACCTCGTCTCCTTCCCCTTGGCTACCTGTTGATGCCTGTTCCTTGCCTTCGTCTCGCCACTCGTCTTTATATAGGAACGAGTGATCGGTAATCGTTAATCGTTAACCTGTTATACCGTTCTAATTTTACATCGTATCGATCGGATTCCGAAATAGTGTGGAGGGTCGCGCGTGATCCGTCCAAGAGAGCGTGTGAAAATATAGGAGGAAGGGGAACGTCGTTTTATTTTTCCACTATCCCCTCCACCCTGGCCGGCTGGTACGGTAGACTATCATAATATTTATCAACAAGCAGACGTGCATTTTTCTCTCCCGCAGAGATAGGTCCTGAGGCATCTGGAGGGCACGTGCCCGGTCCCGATCCCTCCGCCAACACATCGAACGCCACCAGAATCGATCGTCCGTTGGACACGACCGAGCCGTCGGACGAGTTTGAAATTTCCCACCGCTTTATTAATCGCGACCTGCCTATCTCGCGAATGAAATTGAATCGTCGATTCGATCGAGAGCAAACAAAACGATTGGTTCACGGATATCTATTGCGAAAAAGATTCTTTCTTTTGATTGAAAGTTCGGTCGAACTTTTCCGCGCGAAAACTACTCGGCTTTAGTTTGGCCGCGAAACGAGAGATCGCAAGGTAACATGTATACGTATATGAAACAGAAACCCGTCTCTCGTTTTCACGGTGTATCGAGGGAACACGAGTCACGAGCCTATTGGATTCCTATTGGAAATGTGTCGCGGCAATGGTAAGGCATCGACGACTGTCCGACTCGTCCAAATCCAAGTTGGCCGACCTAATGTCGAGAGTACTTTTTCCTCTCTCTCTCTCTTTCTCATTTTTTCTTTTTTCTTTTTTTCCAGGATTTTCAGATATACGCGGTTGCGTTGTCGGTTGTGTTTCGAGCGGTCGAGAAACAACACGGCTGGTTTTCCAGCTGGCGATCGAACCGTCGAATTTTCGACGGGAGAACGGTGTCGACGTAATTGGTAGGGAACTGGTTGGCTGGCTGACTGGCTGGCTGGCTGGCTGGCTGGCTGTGAGGGATTCTAATGAAAAGGCAAACAAGAAAGTGCGAAACGAAAAGCTTTTTCAAAGGAAAAAGGAGAAAGAGAGAGAGAGAAAGGGAAAGAGAAAAAGAGAAGAGCGCGATCGCGTTTAACATTTTTTTTTCCCCCCTCTTCCTTTTCCTCGATTTTTCGTGAGAAATTTCGAAAAACACGAAGGGAGATGAGATGAATTTTCACCGGGAAAGGGATTATTTACGAGCGACGTGGTAACTCGTCGGTCCGCGATCGGCTAAATGTTTCCGAGACAAAAGGAAACGCGAGTTACGATGGAACGAACGAACGAACGAGCGCATTATTTTCAGAGTCGCGGCACGCCACCGATGTTTCGACAAAGCGGCCGCGTGTCCGAAACAATATTTTGACGTTGTAACGCGACAGCGAACAACGTGACCGATTGAAAAGCTGACAAGCTCTGAATTCTTTCCGCTAAATCCGTGTACGTGTTCCTTCCGCTCTCTCTCTCTCTCTCTCTTCTTTTTCATCTCGCTCTATCCCTCGTTTTTCTCACCACCCGACCACGGCCAGTTAGCTGAAAGGGACACAGACCAGCCGTCCCGGCGCACGCTTTCCACGCAACGATTTTCACCTTCGCATACACCTTATGTACGTACTTCTCCATTACTGTAAATTAAATCCCGTTCCGGACGTGGTGTATCCTGCAACGGTGCTCGTTGCAAACTTTTCACGGAACGGAAAAATAAAGCTACCGTCGGCGAAATTCCCCGACCGATACTTTTCACCGTGCGCTACAAATAGCG